ACAGGATTTAGCCTGGTTCCCTGGCAGAGTTGCTAGAAGGAGAGGAAGAATGGCTAGAGGCAGTGTCCTGGGCAGGAGGGTTCCTGCCTCAGAAAACATTTCTGGGCAAGAAGAGCTTGGCCAAGGCAGCAGGGCTCTGAGGCTTCAGGGCCACGTGGGTCCTTGTAAGAGGTCACCAGCAGGCAAAGATAGTCAGCAAGTTATCATTGCTCATCTGCCTTCTACCACAGCGGAATTCCTGACAGCGAGTGCTGCAATTAAGCCCACAGGGTCACCATACCAGGACTGCTGTTCACGTAGAAGCAACCTCCAGGTCACCAACTGCTCAGGTTTCTGAGAAGCCTAGTCCAGGGGTATGGAGTCCTACATGTTTCTCTCTATAGTGAGCCCATTATTTAAGGCAAACCGGCATGTCTCTCACCTCTTCTTTTCTGTTACCTCTCACCTGCCCCTGCCTTGCCAGTCTCTCTGGCCCCCAGTAGTGCCCTCAGCACATGAGTCTCAAAGACCTTTCAACTCAGCTTTCCAGAGCTACATGTCTCTGTACTCCAACTTCCTGAAAGAAGTCTGGTTTTCTGCTTGGGGTGTTAGACCCTGGAACATCAATTCATTTGGGGTGGAAGAGGTGAGCGGAAGGAGGCAGCAGCTGGAATCTCTCTGGCTGTGTTAGCTCCAGAACTCTTCAAGTTCCAGAGCAAATTCTCCATCACACATTTTCCCATCTGATGTGCTCAGACACTCACGGCTTTGGCTTTGGAGGGCCAAACTAGTGGACATGAACAGGTTTCCAACTCAGATCCCAGGGCAGCCAGCCTGGGCGAGGCTGGATATGGTCTGCTAAAGCAAAGCTGAAGAAAAGAGGGAGGAAAACTTGGAGGATAAGGCTTAAGGGGGGAACCTTCAGGTTTAAAGTCCCATCTCCCAGTCCTGTGCCATCTGGGGAGGGGTGCAGCAGGGACAGCCCAGAAAGTTCTGATGATGGCAAAGAGCAGAGGCACTAAGACTTTAACAGCTGGAGGGTGGTGCTGCAGAGAGCCCCTCTTCCTTTCCAACAACTTCCACTACCTCTCTCAGCAGAAGTCTGACCGTGTGACCCCAGAGCGTTCTCCCTCTCACTTGCCTGTTGACAGAATGGCCTTCCATGTTCTTCTTGACTCCAGAGGAGACCAGTCTCAGCCCTAGAAGCCTAGTTTTGTCCTCCATCTCAAGGTTAGTGGGGTAATCCTTTGCAAAATTCGATGCCTAGCAATGCTGCTTTTCCAACCTAGAATCATTCCACACTCACAGTTTTTCCTTCACTGAAGAGAAGAGAAAGAAAAGGCAATTCATTTATTGGGTTATCGGAAAAGTCATGGTGCAGTTTTGCTTGAAAAACATAGAAAAAATATGTCATGATTCTTCTAACAACCCAACACTTCTTCATTCAGGAAAAACTGATATAGTGTCTATTATGTGGCAAATATGCTCTTGGGTCCTAGAACATGACTGTGATCAAAGTAGGGGCCAGCTTTTAAGGGGGTTGGAGTCTAATGGGGAAGAAACACATAAGCAAGTAATTTTTAGTGATGGTACCCCCATTCTCGATACAGCAGCCTGTGGTCCATGGGGTTCTTCCATGGACAGGGAAGAAGCAGGAGGTGGAGGCTAGGGTGGGGGTGAGTCTGCCACCCCCGAAAATAAGTTGTGTTTGTACCAGGTGGAGTCCCCATTGCACCTTCGTCTTCTCAGCGTGGCTGCCCCGTGTTGAAGCAATGGCTCCAGGCAGTTTCCAACTAACCCTTGGTCACCCCTTTTTACTATCTGTAATCTGTGTAAATCCTCCTCCGTATAAAAGCCGGGTCATTCTCAGTGACCCATTCTGCTACTTGATTTCTGCCCAAACCGTGACTGATAAGCCTTCGTGGAAAAAATGTTTACAGAAGTGGGCACTAAAAAGTAAGTGGGACGTTCAGGTTTTAGCAACAGCAAGAAGAAACCACCAGCTTCTCTAGGCCTAAAGAGGCAGGGGAAGGAAAACACGTTACCGCAGCTGGAGTCACGCGAGAGAGGACACCCGGAGCAGCTTTGTCATGCTGGCATGACCAGAGCCAGAAGTGTGCAAGGAGGGACAGGAGGGACCAATACTTCACTCTCCCCCTCCGTCTGCCTCTCCCCCTCTCCTTCTTTTTCTCACTTCCCCCACACCTATCAGTGTTGGCCCCCTTCAATCTTCATGGGAAGACCCAGCCCAGACCTAAGCCTGCATTCACTCAGCTGATCATTCAGTAGAGGTCAGTCTTCTGAAGCACAGGTCAGGGCCCAAAAAAGTCTGGTGAAGAGAGCTAAACAGAAAATAAACAGCCAATCACACCTCATTGCCAACACTTTAACAAGAGTGTAACTGTCTTCGAAAATTTATTATAAAGAATGTTATTTCTTTTTAAAATAGGAGCCAGCTGGCACCAGGCCAAGTAGCCTTCGCTGCCAGTTGGCCGTGGGTTGTCAGAGCGCCCCCTTCTGAAATAGCTACATGAGCACCTCAGAGCACAACCCATTGTGAGGAAGCCTGGCTGGTTTCTGAGGTTCTAGAATTTCCAGGAATCTCCAGCACCGGGAGATTCTGTTCATTTGTGCTTCACTGCTCTTGGGTGCCCACATCGGGGGCCCCTCTCCCTTAGATCCAGATGAAAACTTTTCTCCTACTTATGAGTCTTCTTCAGCTCAGATCTGTCAGCGGTGAGTCCTCTTGTCTGGCTCTGCAGAATATGTAAGAGGCCCCTTGTAGGCGTTTCAGTCTTCCAGGAAAGAAGACCAGTATCTTAGTTACCCAAACCAATTTGGTTCAGAATCAGGAATAGCCAAACAAGTCTAATGTGGAGAGTACGGGAGTCAGCGGATTCATCCTAGTGATGGCCGTTCGGTCGGAGGGGACCACAGCTTGACACTTTAGACACGTTCTGACTTACATCAACCACTGACCATTTGCACCTGAAGCTCTGTAAGCCTAGGGGTTATGTGGAAGTCCAGTGAAAGTTTGTCCCGACAAACTGCATGCAAGGGAGATGGGAATGTGGCCTGAAAGCCAAATCAGAACACAGCAGGGCTGTGGGCCAACGAGCCTCCCTTCATGGCTAGTTCTACCCACCCAGTTGTCGGGGTTCTTTAAGATCTTTCAGGACCCCCAGGCTCAGTGGGCTATGTTGCCTCCTTTCTCCGACAAGAGACAAAGCCACAAACTCTAAGAGGTTGGTCAAATGACATGTTCTCCATATTCTTGATTCCCTTTGCTTTTTGCTTTCTTGACCTTTTAAAAGTTGACCCTGAAACACAGATAGCTAGCTGCCAGCCAGCCCCCTGAGACATAACTACAAGATCAACTAAGAAATTAGGATGCCTTTCCAAGCCTCCTTTCTACACTGGAAATATATCTTTATTATTTTTTAAAGAATTTTTTTGGTGGGCCCTCTCTGGTGGCACAGCGGGTTGGAGTGCACTGCGAAGCTGGTGGTGGCCACTTCAGTGCGAGTTCGATCCCTGCCCCGGAGGTGACCACACGGCGTGGCAGACCTCTCCTGACCCACCCGCTGCTCCCCTCAGCAGTGTATTTCATCAATCTGTCTGTTCTGCTCCCCACTGTCTCTGGTGAATCCCCTCACTGCCCCTGCATCTCTGGCCTGTACCCCAGTTCTTGTATGCATAAATAATCTTAAAAAAAAGATTTTTAAAAATTTATTTATTGGGGTGTAGGCCAGAAATACAGGGGTGGGGGTGTGGTGGTAAGAGGATTCACCAGACACAGAGTGGGGAGTAGAAGAAACAGATCTACTAAAATACACCGCTGAGGTAAGCAGCGGGCGGGGCAGTGCTGCACTGTGTGGGTCACCTCCCTGGCCCAAGACAGCTTCATAGTGTGAGACTTAACCCCTTGTGCTCCAGGGAGGCCCCAAGAGTTTTGTAATTCCCAATATCAGTTGGAGAGAAAGTTAACTGAGCACTCAGGCAGTGGCCAAGGCACCTCACAAGTGACCTTTTTGACTGTTCATGACAACTCCAAGTGGGTGCAAATGTTAAGTGAGATGTAATCCCAACTCATATACATAAGTAAAGAATGCTTTATCTTAGAAATTGGAGGTTACTTTTCTTTTTGAGAACCCAGATCTCAGAATTGGGTATTGTATATAAGAAAGAACTTGAACTTGCCAAATAAAGGGTTTTTTTTTTAAAGATTTATTTATTCATACAGAATTGGGGTACAGGCCAGAGATGCGGAGGGTGAGAGGATTCATCAGAGCCAGAGCGGGGAGCAGAACAGGCAGATCGAGGAAGTACACTGCTGAGGGGAGCAGTGGGCGGGTCAGGAGAGGTCTGCCACACCATGTGGATCTCCTCCCGGGCAGGCGGGGATCAAACTCATGCGGAAGTGGCTTTAGTTTCTTAGTGCAGTGCTTTAACCCGCTATGCCACCAGAGAGGGCCCCCCAAATAAAGGGGTTTTAATCCCTTCTGATATTTGCTGTGGAATCATTAGCTATTTATCATCTCTAGTTTAAAATTTGACCTGTCCGAGGTTAGAACTTTCCATCCTCAATTTCTACTAGAATTATTTAGCTATTAAAAGCAACGTTTTGTATCTCCTTTTTAATTCTCTTTCATCCCCTGAGGAGCTGAGGAGGAAAGGGTGTCAGTGACTCCTTGATGACATGAATGATGGCACACTGATTTCCCTTTGGGTGTTTTAGGGGCATTGGTAAATGTGTCCCCTTGTGCATTTTTTAATGCTGCGAATCTTAAAGTTCTTCCTTTCCACTCCAGAGGTGACCTTTTTGTGTTTCATTAACAGCTCTGTCCTTCATGATCTCTTGGGTAGTTAGCTCTCTCCAACACCTGGAATATCTTCAGGTGCCTGATCGAGGCCCCCAGGCACCCCAAGAATCACACATTAGCCCTGCTCCCTAGGACAGCAGTCTCTACCCTGCACATCTGTTCTGCCACCTTTCCCATCTCTCTCTTCCTCCATCCCAGGAACAGCAGGCCATTCTGATGAGCCTCCGCACTCCGTGAACCGTCATGCTTCCGTTCAGCAATTTTCAGATGACTACATGTCACTTCGGAAGCCTTCAGAAGCTGAGGCTTTATATGAGACTTCTTCAAGCAAGAACGCTTTAAGTGAGCATGTTTCAGGTGGTCACGCTTCAGCTGAACATGCTTCAGCTGGACATGCTGCTGCTGAACACGCTTCAGGGGAGCACACTTCAGGGGGGCACGCTTCAGGGGAGCACGCTTCAGGGGAGCACGCTTCAGAGGAGCACTCTGCAGGCGAGCATGCTAGCGGCGAGCACACGGTAGCTGAGCACACTTCAAGTGAGCACACCATCTCTGAGCACACGACAGGCGAACACACTTCAGGGGAGCATACTGCAAGTGAACACACTTCTAGTGAACCTTCAGGTGACAAGTCTGCTGAACAGTCTGCTGAACAGGCTTCTGTGGAACAGGCTTCTGTGGAACAGGCTTCAGTGGAACAGGCTTCGAGTGAAACTCCTTCAAATGAGAAGTCTCTCACTGAGCAGTCTTCTGGTGAGCAGGCTTCCGTTGAAAAGGCCTCCGCTGACCAAGCTTCAAGTGAACAGGCTGCAGCTGAACAGACTTCAGGTGATAAGGGTGAGCAGACTTCAGGTGTTTCATCCTCAAGCACACCTTCAGGTGAGTCTCAATTTCATGCCGATGTGCTGACTTTGACTGCAGCTGGGAAACAGGCCACACAGCCAGCAACCTGACTTAAGAACACTAAGAAAGAGCAGCTCAAAGCTCTTCAAGACTGTTTGTCTCTTTACAGTAATACTGGGAGGCAGGATCCAGGCTCTGTGGGTGCCCTGACGGCTAAACAATTTGGAGGACCCTGTTTAAGAAAATACAGTACAAATGCTAAATACCAGCAGTGCCCCCAACTCCACACTAACATTAAAACATGAATAAAAATGCCCACAATGCCTTTTCATGAGTTTCTGGTGAACTGTGAGGAAGGTTCGCAAACCCAGGAAAGACAGGCCGAGCCCTGGAGCCAGAGACACTCGTTTCTTTTTTTAACATGGAGACTAAAGATGCAGACACTTAAGTCTGTTAGATCCAGAAGGAAGTTCCCAGGGACTCTGGCTCTTATCACAAAGTGATTGTTCAGAGAAGGAAAACAAGACCATTGTCTCGTGCCTCATATTACCCGACATAAATACTTCCTATTTAATGCCCACTGCATAAGTAGCAGTATTCCAAATTTATGAAGTTGGAAACAGCAAAACTTGATTCAAGTTTAGGTCATCTGACTCCAAAGTTCATATTCTTACCCCTTCTTTATGCTCCCTTAACTCAGGAAATGACACTGGAGATGGTAAGAGAGGCAATATATAAGTAGTTCAAATATTTTTCTTGGTGACAAGTAGAAAGTGGGAAAGGATGCAGCCTCTTTATAGAGCCCGCAACATGAGAGCATTTTAATACCACTTACTACTCCAATTTTATCCCAAGTGCTCATGCCTTGGGAGAGTAAGATGGGGTTTATGGAATTGAGTCTGTCATGTGGCAAGTTCTACTTTGCTCCTAGACATGACAGAAGAGCATCTAATTATAAATGCCCAGGAAGCTAATGTGGGGACATGAATTGAAGTTGAAGTATTATAGAGAAAAACTTAGGATTTGTCAGTGACCAAAGTCACAGATGAAGCAGTAAGAATGAAGGAATTTCCTCAGGTTCAGAAGAGAGAATATGCTCTCGCACACATGGGTTCCTCAGATTCCCAACACGCACTAAGAATAAAACATGTGTCCAAGCTGTGTATTTCTGCCTATCATCCCTCCTGAGATATGAATCAAGGCTACACAACTGGTCTATAAAAGAATTTCATCAGGCTGATTTTAATTTTTAGGCCCAGTGTTGAATTGCCATACATGCTCTTATATGAATGACCAAGGAAAATGTCTTCGTGGAGAGGGGGTCTGTACAACTCAGAATTCCCAGCAGTGCATGTTAAAGAAGATCTTTGAAGGTACATGGTACTGTGCAAAGCAATCTTTGATAGAGAACTCACTGACAGAGTACTGAGGGGAACAGTTGGAGTGGGAGGCTTGGTCCTGGGGGTGGGAGTTGTCATTCCCCAGGAACTTGGGATTCAAGAAAACCTTTCCTTTCAATAATTAAGAGCAGAATTCCTGCTATTGATGGGGGAGGAAGAGCCCCTACCCAGCAGGCCTCAATGTCTTAGAAGGAGGCTGGGAGATGGGCTGGCTCTTCCTATGAAATAAATGTGTGGTCCCTTGAGCCGTTTGTGAGCTCAGAACTATATCTTGTTCCTGAGTATCTATTAGTAGAACTTAACACAATGTTTAGTAGGCATTTAGTAAATACCAAATGAATAAACTAATAAACAACAGTGTACCAGTCTGTGTTCAGAGGTTGCCAGACATGAGCACATTCCTACACCTCCACCCTTGTACTGATCCTCCTAAAATCTTGGTAACTTCCATCTTGTGACACATAGCCAGACTGCCTTTGCAGTTTGGCCCCTGACTAGAGTGGAGAAGGGCCTGGAATAGACAGGTAGAAGGTGAGCTGGAGGAAGGATATATGTATCGGAAGTCTTGGTTGTACCTGTGGGAGGACACTGGGGGCCTGGATAAAGGCTAGTGTTGTAAGAATCATCTGTTCACTGAGATCTGTTTCTGCCTCTTTCAGGTGGAAAACTCCAGTTCATGGTTCAGGGCTGTGAGAACATGTGCCCATCAATGAACCTCTTCTCCCATGGAACCAGGATGCAAATTATATGCTGTCGGAATCAGTCTTTCTGCAACAAGATCTAGAAGCCTGTGCCATTGCTTCTTCTGTGACTCAGGCAGCAAAAATCATTATCCTACGGGCTCAATTTAGATTTTGTTTCTTCCCCAGCCAACAACTTAATCACATCTGCCTCTGCCTGAGGGTCAGACAGGAATGCTCAAGTATCTCCCCCATCTCCCTTCCCCATTTCTAAACATTCTTGTCTTTCAATAAATTCTGCATGGTTAAAAAATACAGACTCCAAACAAATTTCCCATCAGTCAGTTGCAGAGTTGGTCTGAACTTCTTTCTACTCTACATACTAAATCAAATGCTTTCTGAAACCACATATACATCAACGTGCTCCAGGGCAGAGACCAGAAAGAATGCAAAATAGACGGCAACCTTCTAAGAAATGAAACTACACTGGGGATCCTTCTCTCTGAACCTCCCTCCATTTTTTCACCCTATAGAAACCTAACCCTTTTTTACTTAGCCTGGTATCCAAAATTCACCCCTTTTCTGATGCTTGAGGTTTCAGTCTTTAAGCATCTACTTGTAACGTAATTATGACAATTTGTTGCTGTGCAAACAGGTAGCAGGCCAGGATGCTTAAATCTTTTTCTCACGGTGTCACTGGATTATCTGCTTACCACAGTGGCAGATGAAAATACAATTACAGTCCCTTTCTCCTTGTATTAGAGTCATGGTCTCCAAGATATTTTCACATACATGGTTTCATAGGATTCTCAGAAAAGATCCCAGAAAGATAGATAGGAAAGATAGCTTCACACTTATTTTGAATATAAGGAAATATGACAGATTTTTTTAATCAATGTTTATTTTTACATCATTTTGTGCATTTTTGACAGAGATGTTTTCTTGATATTGATGTCCCAAATTTACCATAGTTATGGCGCTGAGCAGCAAGACAGGGCAGATTTCAAAACCAAATCTGATCTCAATCTGAACTGTGTCCAGCACACTATGAATACTGGCCCGTTCAAGGCCGAAACCACCCTCTCCCTCCTATACAAGTCCGTCTCCTTTCTGTCATTGTTCCCCCAAGACCTCTGTTCAGTCGTTCCTGAAATCAGCTGAGCGAGCTAACCTCATACCAAGCAAAAGTCTTTAATATTAATTTTTTCTTTTATAGAAAAGCCCTAAGAAGTCTTAGGAGGAGCATACCGAAACTTTTATTTCGTGTAAATTAAAAGCATTAAGTATGTATGCACTATGGCCTTCCCCAAAAATAAGTCAGTAGCAGGTTAATTTGTAACAATTATTTGTGGGGCACTGCTCTTCAAATTTATATTTTTTAAGCAGTCATTTATTAGTGACAGGTTTCTCAGCATATGTATTTTAATTGTCTCAGACTCAAAGATGCTTTATGTTCGTATTTCTTTCTTATGTGGAATATCCAAACTGAGAACACATTTAGTTTTTTAAACTTTAATAGAGAAATACAAGCTGTGGTTAATTGGTTTTCATCTCTGGATTTAAGATCTACTATTGCTTAGAACCAAAAGAATGAAATGGGCAAAGACTTCAGAAGTTTACTGCCATGAAGATGATAAACATGATTATCAGTGTGGAGTGAGGTAGTAACTAGCATTTACAGAGCATATACACACATCTAAGAGGTTCAAAGAACTTATGGTAGGATAAATAAAAAGAAAACCATACACACACACACACATACACACATGGAGTTGTCATACTACTAAAATTCAAAGATTAAAACTCAAAACTATCCAAAGAAGAGACTGCATTGCAATAGGTAAACAGGAGAACAATGACACAAATGTTGGCTGACTTCTCATCAGAAAGTGAAGAGCAGAAAACAAGAGAATGAAGAGATAAAAGATTAAAAAAAAAAAAAAAGCCAGCCATGAAATAGAAATAATTGTCCTTTAAAAAGGAAGGTAACAAACATTTTCATCAAGCCAAAAACTAAGGGAATTCACAGCCAACAGATTCTGTACTAAAAGAAAGGCTAAAAAGAAACTTTCATTGCTTCTCAGCTTTTCAGAGTAACAGGTAATGATATCAAGAAAGAAACTCAGATTTATTTAAACTTTAATAGAGAAATTCAAGTTGTGTATACTTTAATAGTAAATACAAGAAACAAAGAGCATTAGATATAGTAAATATATAATGTATGGATAAATTTAAGAGATGCGAACATCTTACTTTTAGAAGCCATACCTCTTGTACCCCTGGTGGTACAAGCGGTTAAGTTTTATCACTATGAAGCTCTCCACAGCCACTGCAGCAGGAACTGGATCCCCCACCAGGGAAGTGACCCACATGGTGCAGCAGACCCCTCCTGTCCCATCCACTGCTCCCCTCAGCAGTGTATTTCAGTCAATCTACTTGTTCTGCTCCCCACTCTGTCTCTGGTGAATCTTCTCACCCCCACCCCATACCTTTGGCTACCTACCCCAGCTCTTGTATGCATCAATAAAAAAAATCTTTAATAATGAAAAAACCATGCCTGCTTAAAAAATTTAAGTACATATGTATGACAATAATAGCACCATGGACAGAGGAAGTAACTGGAACTTTACTTTTGAAAGGTGTTGAGTGAAATAGTAAATATTAATGTTAATTGTGAAATAGTAAGCCTTAAAAATCATTTTCAAAAGTACTGAGGTATAGCTTAAGGTGTAGTTAAAAAAGGTCAATATAAAAATTAAAGGGGAGGGCCCTCCCTGGTGGCGCAGTGGGTTAAAGCACAGCACTGGGAAGCTAAAGCCACTACCGCATGAGTTCGAATCCTGCCTGCCCCAGAGGAGATTCACATGGTAAGGCAGACCTCTCCTGACCGTCCACTGCTCCCCTCAGCAGTGTACTTCGTTGATCTGCCTGTTCTGCTCCCCGCTCTGTCTCTGGTGAATCCTCTCACCCTCCACATCTCTGGCCTGTACCCCAGTTTCATATGAATAAACAAATCTTCAAAAAAAAAAAAATCAAAGTGGAATATTAAACAATACTGGATGAACCCAAAGACAAGAGAGAGAACAAAGAATCAAAATGGAAAACAAAAATCCAAACAGTGGTAACTGAGTAGACACATCAGCACTACATCCACCTTTCTTTCAAAAACATATGACTTGAACCTAAATCATATGAAACATCAAAGCAAAACTGAGCAAAGTTATACATTAAATTAAAAAATGTCAAGGTGCAGACACACAAAGACAGAGCACTCCTTACCACTTCCAATTCAGTACTGCCGAATTCCGTAATTCCTGTTCTAATGAACATGAGGTTTCTTTCTGGAATGATGAAAATGTTCTGAAATTAGTGGTAATGGTTGTACAACTTTGTGAACACACTAAAAACCACTGATGGGTATACTTCCAAAGGTGAATTTTATAGTACATAAATTATGTTTCAATTAAAAATTATAAATAAAAACAACTCTCAAAGGTTGGGGACTCAAAAAGGTATTCCAAATGACCCACGGCTCAAAAAGTAAAGTTTACGTAGCACATATAACTGACAGAGGGCAAGTATTCCTGATATGCATTTATAGACAAACAGGGACTAGGGGAAATGTGTCAAATGTTTCAGCAAATCTGAAGAAAAACTGTAGAGCAAACTGAAAAAAATAAGTCAAATTAAAGGGAAAAAGGCAGAAGAGGAAGGATACAGCAAGAACTTACAGACCAAAAGCAACTGAAAAGACATCACTCAGTTGTAGTGTGGGCTTTATTTGGAAGCTAATTCAAAACATAATGTAAAAAAAATAAGAATTGGATGTCTGATCACTCAATGGCTATCAACGGAGAGCGGGGGGAAAAGGGTAATCTTTTCAATGGCCAGTGTTATACTGCACAGTCATATTGGGGGAGGAGGGTGAAATGAATGTTGACCCCTGCCTCACATTATACACAAAAACCATTTTCAGGTGAATTGTGGAACTAAATGTGAAAGCCAAAACTTGAAAGCTTTAAAAAAAGGTGCAACATGGAGAAAATCTTCATGCTTTTGAATAGGGAATGAGTCCTTAAATAAGAGAGAAAAAGCATTAGTCAGAGTAAACATCTTTTTGAGCTATGTTAAAATTACAAATGTCCATTAAGAATAAGACCATAAGCCACAGAATGGGAGATATTATATGTCTCTGTCACTGCCAATAAAACAGTAATGCTGGACACATTAAGAACTGAAACTCAGAAAGCTAGAAAAATAAGTAAAAGACTGAAATGAGCACTTCAGAAGACACTCAACCTTATTCAACATAGGGACAAATTAAGACTACATGAGATATTGCACACCAACAACTTATAAAAAATCAGAATGGCATCAAATGTAGGTGAAAATTTAAAATACTAAAAACATATTATTCTAATATAAATATTCTTATGCTTTACTGGGTCCTTTCAAATTTTTCCTAGTGATTGCAAACTTTTTTTTATAGCAGTGTATATGGGTACAAGTACTTTAGAAAACCATCATTTTACTTAAGTTGAAGATAGGCATATTCTAGAGCCCAGCAATTTCCTTCCTTAAGTATATACACTTATCTTTAGGGCCTAGAGAAACTCATGTGTATGTACCAGAGTGTTCTTAACAAGACTGTTAATAAGTCGTAAGCAATAAGTAATCTGAATATGCATTAGCAGTAGAATGAGTAACATTATGAACTATGTTCATAAATGGCAACCTATACTGTAATAAAAACCAGTGAATCTGACAAATGGATATAAAGAAGAAGCAACATACAAAGACCACACAGCAAATTTCATTTATCTAAGATTTAGAAACAGTTCAAACAGCTGAGAAAAACAGAGAAAATAAGGGAGAGGGTCATCGCAAAAGCAAATTTTGCGATCACTTCTCAGGGAAGGGACTGAGTTAACAGGGAAGGAGAAAATACCAAGGTTTCTGCGGTCTGGAAATGATTTTTCTTCTACTGAGTTGTGGTTAAGTAGATGTTAACTTTATGGCTGCTGTTTAAACAGTACATTATTTATATATCTATACTATGTCAAAAATCACACACACACACTCTCTACACATACACACGGGATGAAATGTCCATCAAAATTTTAGCTTTTACACAGGATGACAGATAAACCCTTCTTCTCTCATTTACACACTTGACAAATTCTCATTGATAAGCAAGTCTTACTTTTAATAATGGGATACATTTCTTCTCCCAATCACATAATGAACATTGCTGAAAAATTATGGCAACTTATGTTTATTAAATGCCTTCTTGTACAACATGGTATACTACATTCTTCATGTACATTAACAGATTTAAGGTTAAAAACAACTCTGAAAGGTAGTTGTCATCAGTCTCTTTGAAGAGGCAATTGCCAATGTTCACATAATTAAACATCAGAGCTAGTCTGAATTGAACTTCCCACCATCCTACACAAATTCCAACAGTTGATAAAGCTTGTTTATGATCCATCAAATCACCTTCCCCTTGTAATATTCTGTGGCATTTTCCTCATCTGATATCTAATTAATTATTTGACATAAATTTTTTAGTATCCACTATATTCTAGGTATTGCTCTATGCAGAAAAACATGGATGAAAATGAAGTCCTAAGCTTCTATTTTGGTGGAGGAAATGGGCAATAAATAATTTCAGAGAGTGATTAGTTCTATGAAGAAAGCAGAATGATAGTGATTGGTAGGAGAACATTTGGGATGAGATTTGAATGCTAAGCCAAGTAATTGACTGGAAGGGATTTCAGGATTTCAAGATTTCAGGCGGAGGAAGCTATAAACAATCAAGTTTGTAAGGGGAATGAGTTCACATTAACATAAAGGAGGCTACTCTGCTTTGCAGTATAGTGAGTAGAGGGGAGAGGGGAAGAATACAGGGGCAGGAGTCAGAGCAAAGAACTTAGACCCCAGTTCTGATGCAGTAAGAAGGTTTTTAAGCAAGGGAGTGCCAGAGTAGAATAAAAAAAAGAAAAAAAAAAAAAGCAACAACTTAGGTCCTATGTAAAGACTGAAGGAAAGGATTAGAAAACAGCAAAAGTGGGAAGTGGGAAGACACATAATAACAGAAATCCAGTAAAAAGAGGAGATGAGGGAGCTTTAATTAAGGTGGCAGCAATAAAAATGGACAGAAGCATTTGGCTTCCAGGTATGATAAGAGTAAATCATATCAAATGAGTGTCTTTATTTCTTTGTTAAGCAATTTATGGCATACTCTAACCTACTGGGCACTATACTAGGTGCTGGGGGTACAAAAAAGAACATGTCAGACCATGTCCCTGACGTCAAGGAGTTCATATGCTACATATTCCAATGGGAGAAACAGACAATAGAGATACTATAGTAAGTGTTATAATGATAAATAAAGGAAAAAGCGTTGTCGTTGGGGGGGGGCTTGTTAATATTAGGTAAGTCAGGGAAGGACTGTGTGTGTAAGCAAAGACTTAAAAGTGAAGCACAAGTCACATAAATATCTGGGAGTAAAATACTCCAAGTACAGAAACAGCAAATCAAAAGATAAGAATGTGTTTATCTTGTGAACAGAACAAAGCCAATGTGACTGGAGCAGGACGAGTAAGTGGAAGAGTAGCAAGTGAGGCCAAAGAAGAGGCTGGAGGACAGACAGCATGCAAGTCACAGATAGTCTGAATTTTGTTTGAAGAGTAATGAAAAGTCACAAGAGTTGAGGGCCAGGAAAGATACCCAATTCATATTTTAGAAGGATCTGTTCTGACTTTTTTTGAGCTGCTACGGGATAAGCAGTAACACCAAAAAAGAGTTAACAGTGCCTTCAACTAAGTGTGGACGGTGGGATACATTTTGGATACATTTGCTGAACTGAATAGGATTAGCTGAATTGAATATAGAATATGAAAATCATGTCAAGGATAGTTTCAAGGGTTTGGGCTTAAAAGACGGGGGGTAGGTGGGTGCTGAATGTAGCATTTATTGACCTAGAGCAAATTATGGAAGAACAGGTTGGAGGACAGAAGGAAAAGTTGATTTTGGTCATTAACTGAATATAAGTGGAAATGTCAGCTAGACTGGCGATAAAAGGAGAGTTCAAACCCTGTGATAACTGTTTCTGAGAGTTATATGGCTGGCTGACAGTTCTCAAGACCAAAGTTTCTTTCATACTTGAGAATAAATTCTTAGGAGCCCGCTATTGGTTCAAATTTATTCCTTCTACGAATATACTGCAGCAGCACAATTTACCAGCATACCCTAATATATGGTAAATTCTAACCATAAAATTTCACATGTTCTTACCTTTAGACTACCATAGTTCTATAAATTACAACAAAAAAGAAGGGTATAGGGGACCCCAGCCTAATACAGCAAAAGTTACCATAAAATTTAGTCAAAGTCTTAGCAAAACTAACAGGTAGAAAAAACGGGCATCAGATCTGTTTCTATTATGTCTTCCTTATACTTCTCCCTCATCTTTCATTCCTTACTACCTAGAAGCTTAGTCACCATTAAGTTCACAGAATTAAGCTACTTAGTTTCAAAATAGAATTTATTTCTGTAATAAATTTAAAATATGGCTGTGAAAGTAGAAAATAATATAGAAAAAAATCTTTTAAATGTGCAACAGTAATTTTAGAATAAAAGGTAGTTAAGCACTAGAGAATATGCTCAACTTCTATTTCAAAGATCAATCAGAATTTTATATATTATTAACTACATTGGAAAAAAACATACCTAGTTACAGTTTTAAGTAAGAATTAAAAAATGGATTCATATACTTGGTCATGCTCTTTTGAAAAACTGACTACAAATCTCGGGGTTATAGTTTTTGAAGTTGACTCCATTTCACAGACTGATAAATCTACTGTCCAAAAGACACAAGGGTTGGCTTTATAAATTTATCCATACAATTAAATCAGGAGGAAATGTGTATTTTTAATATAATCCAAAATGTTTTGTAAAAATGGGACAGGGTAACATCTTTAATTATGTTGGTTTAAGAGCTAATAAACTCATGTACCCTTAAAGCTTGGGTTCCAACAGGTGGGTCTCAAATTCAGACACTAACCACAAAGAAATAGCTAATGCATTCTATCCAACCCTTTCCCAAAATCTTACTTACAATCAAAACATAGATGTCATCTGTAAGCAGAACATACATAAAGAATCAGAAAATGTTTGCTAAGGAGGGAAGAGAACTCTTCAGGGACTATTTGCAGTCTGCAGAATAAGATGATCTTCTCTAGGAAGAATAATGTCAACATAGCAGCACTATATTCACCAGGATTCCCTGGAGTCAACGGATGTATCAGGTGGCAGGTAGCCAAACCTTCTGGCTGCTGACAACATCAGTCAGCTTCCCTTTAATCTTCAAGAAGTGTCTCTTGAATTCCAATCCATCACCCTGTATTAGGAATAATATTCAATCCATGTTAAGAAAACCGTGCTATAAAATCAAGCAACTTCTTAAAGAAGTAAAGGCCAATATTGTTAGGTATGTCTAGCTACAGTTCCAAATTCTCTTATGAAGACCAAATACCCCAGTAGAAGAAATAACTATATATAAATAATTCTGACCTGATTTCGAGTCTGCTACTACTCCTACCACACTGAGCTCAGAGAGCAGAAACATTGGCATCCTTTCTATTTCATGTGTTTGTATATCTGGACCTAAGTTATTTGGGAAAGGCATGGCAAGTTTGTAAACTAAAATAAGCTACACAACTATACCAGTCTTGCCAAACTACTGTGGCAACAGAGCCAGTAATTCAGTTATTGAGCAGCTTTCATTATACTGGGATCACAGTAATTGAATGCAAGCAGCTGGACAAGAGTATTGCAGCAAGTCTCCAGTATAAAGAAAGTGGCTTACTTCTCCAATCTTCTTCAGAGACAAGCATAATGTGTGAGGAAATAGAGAAAATACTATTTCAGTTTTAAAAAATTTCTATAATGAACACACACTATTCCCTTAACAATACAAAATAAGGTTTACAAGAAAAACATTGTTGTTCTACTTACCTTAGAAAGACGGAAGTCAACCAAGATCTTCTCATCCATTTCTACCAAATTTATTTTGAAAATCAGTTTATTATTTCTCCTATCTGTTGTTGATACAGTAACCTAAGGCAATAAAAATAAGGTTAAACTAGATGTGTGGGAAGAGAACACTCTAAGCAAATATCTCAGGTTAATTATACTGGGATAAAAATTTGAGAGGGACTTCTGTAACAGAGGAGTGGAAATCTCTTTTCAGGGTCTTCCCCTCCAAATAGGTGTATGTCTAACACGGACCAACCTATAAATAGGTACAACATTACCAAGGTTTGAAATTACGTAAACTCTCAGCAACAAAAATAAGTATGGTATTTTACCAAAACATAACTGTAATAAACAACTGAGAAAAGTAAAATAAGACTGAGGGAAAATACAATTATGAGTGAAGGCAACCAGTCAGCGAGGCTGGAGCAGTGGAGGTCACCAATGGAAAGAGGGGCCAGGTAGCATGCAGCCTACTTATTAGCTCTTAGAAGTCACCTTTGGTACCTGGTAGGACAGTGGTTAACATAGCAGTGGTATGTTCTAGGTCAGTGGCTTCTAAGACTCTATTTGGATTCATTGCAGTAGGCAACATGAAGAATCCAATGGCAAAAAAATCTCATGAAGTATGTATGGCTTTCCACTTGTTATTTAAGATGTGTTCCCTAAGCATGCCAAGAGTTTCAAGATGCAGGTGAAGAGGTAATATCTTCCCCAGCCACAAAAACTGACAGAATTATTACAATGTTACCAACACATAGAAGGTTATTCTAAAGCAAATGAAAGTCTAAAAACAGTGAAGGGTTGATGTTCATAGATCTCACTACTATCAATCCTAGTTTCTAAAGAATTAACCAAAGAAACTGAAAAAAATGGGTTCCCTGTTTCCAGTGGAAACTTAAAACGGCAACATTATTGCAACATTATCTTTGGTGAATCCTCTCACCCCCCATACCTCTGGCCTGCACCCCAGTTCTTTTATGCATAAATAAATCTTTTTTTTTTTTAAATGGCAACATTAAATGATCTCTTTTGAAATGACAGGCTTTTAGAATTATAGCCCATCAAAAAGGCCCATTGTGTAAAATGGAAACAGGCTGATTTGGAAGTGGATATACTTCCATATTGAGAAAATGAAATATTTTATGCCTATAAGTGTGAAAGGAAATATAACATTTCCCAAATCTGTGTTTTTAGATCCTTCTTATCCATGGTTATTTTTGAAGCTTGTGTAAAAATGAAGAGTCTAGCAGCAAACTTTATAACAAAAACAGTATCTTATTTTAACCCATTTATGGTGCTAAGAAAATGAAGCAAATATTTTAAATGACATCTTGAATTTACAAAATTATGTATCTTAAAATAATTTTCTCCTTAGTTGCAATAAAAAATTTGTATTTAAGAATTGATTTCAACTGTTTTTTCAGAACCCTATTAAACTCTCACTGGCAAAATTTGCAAACTGAGTTCTCCAAATATATTTTTTAATTTAAAGATTTGGCTTTTATGTTTTTTCTACCAGAGAACAGTAGATGTTAATAAAGTAAGAAGTGATTTTTTCCTTTTATGAGGTCAGCAGTTGTTTATTTTAATCGGGTTGACTGTTCTTACTGATGAGTCATGGATTGTTGATAATAGCATAAACAGTGATTTGGTTGTTGCAGAACAACTCAGCTAGCTTTTGTACTAAATTATCTCAAAAACAACCAGCATCCTGCACCCATGTGCTCTGTAGGAATAGTCCATGAAGAAGTATCTTTCTCTTGTTGCTGTCTTAAATTTATAGGAGATTTAATTATATTTTCTAAGGATGAAGCAGTATTGCCACTGCTTTAGAGAACCCGGATCAATGCCTTGACTGATTTGGGGGGGATAAAGGGATGTATAATTCTTTTACTCACATACCCTAAGTTTCTTGTTCATACTGTGAACCTTTATGAAAACTTGTTTTAATATTAATAAAGGCAAACATGTTTACAGATTTGTTAGCTGAATTTAATTTTAAATTACTACAAAGTATACAGAGTTTTAAAAGGTATGTCTTTCTTGTAAGGGAGAGGATGCTAGGAAAGTCTTGTAACTATGTGTTATAAAAGCAGATTTCTTGAAAAGGGTCTATTTTAAAAAACCTATTTAGGAAAACAGGCCTTTTTTTTTCATAGTTGCTAGTGACTTGCCTTTTAAGATAAACCTCACTAGTTCAATATGCAGTGAATATGAAATTACTAATATTTTTGAAATTTAAAATGTAAAAAATGCAGAGAATATAAATCACTATTCATGAAGATACCAAACCTGTTTTTAATAAATCACAGGAAAACACTGAAAAGCATAGGTGTGGCCAAACCCAAAAATAAATATATAAAACATAAGATTTAAAAAAAAAGAGAGATTTACAGTTGAAGAGCTAGAGCAGCAATCAGAGATATGAAGGTCCTAAGGGGCCTTGCAACTTTCACTGTCAGTGCTTTAGAATGTTCCTATAGTCTATAAAGAAGCCCATGCTAGATGAGTGATGTGGAAAGAAACAGCCAAGACTCTAAACTGTATTTGAACTAAGTTACAATATACTTCACTTCAATTTCATTTTAATATTTCTTATGAACATTCTCCTACAAACTACAATATTATGACCACCCCCAAGAAATTTGACAGGTTTAAAAAACACCTAATATAGAGCCATACTGAAATTTCTCCATTGTTCCAATAACATCCTTTGTGGCTTTTGCCCTTTAAGTCTGTGATCTATGGAAAGATTATGCATTACATTATGTAAGAATTAGTCCCCTAAGTATAAAATATCACCCTCTATTTATTTTTCATGATTGTCATGTGTTATAACATAAACAACAAAAGTTGGTTGAGTATGTAAAATGAGAAGAAATGTAAGATCATTAATGCATTCACTTTTTATAGTCAACAATACCATTACAGTTTACTATATATATAGTTTTTATAAATAGTAACTTCAGTCTTAATATTTAGAGAAGTCTTTTATGAAATTACTTAAGGTAAAAAACATTTTACTTAAATTCTTCAATTACAACAGTTTATTTTTCAAACTAATTATTTTATATTTTTAAACTGTATTGATAATGGTAGCTTTTTATTCAAATATTTAAAATTCAGAAGCTATAATGAAAATTACTGAAATATACCTGATTCATACAACTCTTCTTCCACTGATAGCCCAACTTCTCACAGGTCTCTTTCAAGCACTGGTACGATTTATCTGCATCCAACTTGGTAAAGAACCGTGTCATTCTCTTGACCAAGCGCTGCCAGGGGTTCTACAGATCAAATAGAGGAAAGCTAAATAAACCTGGTATCATCAAAAGCAGTCAAATCATAGCCACTTAGTTGAAAAATCTTTTCTGTGATTTAAGATTCTTAAACCTGAAGGCCTCTTCCATGTCAAAAAAATTTGTATATAGTATTAATACTGTATTTCTAGGATTTATACATTAAAGTGAGAAAAAAAGGCTTTCAGAAAATAAAAATTTAAAGGCTTCTATTATTTATTTGAAAAGCCATCTCCCCTTACCTGTGAGGATCCTGGGGTGCCGAGTAACTGACTATTCAGAAGCATATGATCAGGACACGTGGGCTGGGAAAAGCTGATTCCTTGTACCAGTTTATCAATGTATGAGGGGCTGGTGTCCCATAAGGAAAGACTTGTACGTGGTTCTGGCTGGGAACTGGAGTACTTCACATTTTCTTCACTGAGGTATTAAAAGAAAGGGAAAAATACATTTTTACATAAAATCCATCAGGCCTTTCTTATATTCCCATTCTCACAATGATAAAAATTATTCAATATTCAGAAGAATTAGTTATTATTTTTCATGGGGAATATTACTTTCAACTATTTTGACTTTTATCAATTAATCTTACCTAGAAGCACTGTTTACTGGAGAGAAGTCTAAATTGGACTGAATGTGCTTAGAGAATCCACTAGGAGATTCTGATACACCACTTGATGTGACTCGGGGCCTCTTTGCCCCTAGAAAAGGAAAAACAAATATACATGCTGAAAATCAACCCACTGGCAACTTGAAAAAGAAAAACCGTATCTAAATCCAGCTATTTAACACAAAAATAGTTAGAAGACAAATAGCAGCTCTTCCTACATAAAATGTGTCATTATGAACTTACTAGGATTCATACCTATCAAATTATACATTTCACAGATTCTGACCTGTAAGTTTCAAAAGTGGGATATCATGTTAATGCCCTAATTTTAATGGCTCCCTTTATGTTAACAGAGTAATCTTCTACTGACAGAGACTTAGCTAAATAATTAAAATTAAAAATGTAACTTATAACAACAGCAATAAATATTGTGAATCTGCTTTATGCAACATTCTTTGACCCCCATCTCCAAAAAACTTTCCTAAGAATTACAAAAGAAATGCCAATGAAAATTCAGTTACTGATTCTCAACAATTTCAGTTTTTCTAGTCAGTTTCCTCTCCCTTTCTCCGCAATGATCTTTTCATAACTTCTCACTTCTACCAAATTTCCAAGACTACCCTCCAGCACCTTGTAACTTAGCATATAATATGATCTCATTTCACATAGAAAATAAAGTAATTAGACACTCCCTCAACTTGCAACTACCAAATTTTGTAATTTATTTGCATTTTCACCCACCCTTTCCTCATTTCGATTCTTCTGTCAAATGTTTATTCCTCTACCAGGTGAGCCCACACATCCTATTACCTCCAAAGGCAGTTTTTGTCTACGTCGACTCCATCTACCATTTAGATACCAGTATTCTTTAAAATTCCTTACACTTAATTTCATCTATCCCCCTGACTTAAATTCCCACCTATTTGCAAAAAAAAAAAAAACAAAAAAATACCTAAATCAATATCTCAAGCCAAGTCCCACCCTGAATTGTATACACATACATATTTAACAATGCTATCTAACTTCTCAAATTCGACATGTCCAAAACCAGATAAAATCTCCCCCCAAATCTGGTTTTCCTCCTGAGTTACATTTCAGTACATGCTAGTTTTACATAGTTGTTCATACCAGCAACCAATGGGTCATCCTTAATTTCTCATTCTCAGCCATTATTCATTTATAAACAAATTAATCACCAATTCTAGTTTTTCTTTCTATCCTCAGTGTCATCAACCTAGTCCATGCCACTATCTTCTCATATCTCAGTTGAAAATATAAAAAAAAAGTAGCCAGAGAGCCTTTAAAATCAATTTAGGATCATGTCATTTCCTAGCTTAAAATTTCTCAAAGGGTTCTCCACTGGCCTTCACTTACCCCACATCCTTAATGTAGCTTAAAAGTCTTCCTCCACAACTTGGCTATTATATACTTCGCTGGCCTCACTTCAAACCTCTCCCCCTTCTCATTCATGCAATAAACATGGAACTAACCACTGGTGACAGAAGCCAGACAAGGGCCATGCCAGGAAGATTTAGTCCAACACTTATATTTGTACTTTGACTTCCACCTTATAACTATTATAAACTTCATTTGTTATGTTTATGTTTTTTCCTCTAGACATTATAATCTCCATAAGAACAGAGATCACAACTATCTTATGCTGTTGACTTTTAGATACTATTTCTATCAAAGAAAGAAAAAAGTTGTATTTTAAGGATATTACCTTTCTTTAGGGGCTTGTTGTACCATCTATCTTTTTTGATATCTGGGATCGTTATCCTTACTGATGGATTCTCAACTAAGATTTTGTGCAGCAGAGCTGAAAACAATCATTAAGAGAACATTTGAAAAGACTCATGCAGATTAGAAAAAAACATCTTAAGTTTGTGGTCTTGGGTACATACTCCATTGTCCTCCATAATTATGTCCGAATATTATTTCTAGAGAATAAAATGAATAAAGCTGCTAAAATTATTGCTTTAATTTCATGCAGATTTTCTTTCTTAGAATATTCATTCTACATCTGATTCTCAGTTGTTTGCAAATAAGCAGAACAAGAACCTGGTGTAAATGTTTCTTTCTACAGGTCATTATCAAAGATAAAAAAAAATCCTCATACATTTTTAATACTAAATTTTGTGGTTCTAGTATGTCATGGTAAGTCCTCTCATACAATTTTATAAGGAAAATTTACTATCCAGTAATTTCTTAAAAGAGAGTAATACGAGCAGTCATTCTAAAGTATCTTAATTACCTTCATAAAGAATCTAGCTCCCCAATGCTTTAACTATTTTCTAATAAACGGAAGATTTATTTCTTTTTAAAGATTTATTTGTGCATACAAGAATTGGGATATAGGCAAGAGGATTGGGGAGAATGAGGAGCAAAACAGGCAGGTCTACTGTAAAATATTGCTGAGGGGAGCAGCGGGCAAGACTGGAAAGGTCTGCCACACCATGTGGATCACCTCTCTGACCCGAGCTCAAACTCGTGCACTGCAGAGGCTACAGATAGCCTACAGATAGCCTACAGATAGCCTATGGATAGCCTACGTATAGCCTATAGGTAGCTTCACAGTGCTGCACTATTATCCATTGCACCACCAGGGAGGGCGCTGAACCAAAGAATTAAATGTAAAAATGAAGCCATGAAAACAGGGAATTTTTCCCCCTAATATTAGGAGTAGGGAAGACCTCTCCAAGTATGACAATATAGTTAGAAACCATAAAGGACAAGATAATAGATTTGAATAAACAAAAATGTAAGATGTAAGCTGTCTCTATGTCAAAATGGCATCAACAAAATTAAATAATTCTTTAAAATCTAATGACAGTAATACATTAAAAAAAACTCAAAGTACTAAGAAAATGTGTCAAAAATGTACAAAATACACAATACACAAAAATAGACAAAAAGTTAATAAACGTAATGGTACTAAACATAATAAACATCACTGCTTCTAAATTTAAAATAAAAATTAAAAAGTGTATATTTTTATAACTTTGTTAGCTTAGTCCAATTTTTTAAAACATCAAAGTCATGAAATTATAATAAAATGGCACAAGTTTTCTAGAAAATAATCTAGCAAAGTAAGCCATAATAATTAAAAAAAAACCCAAAACATAAATCCTTAAACCTGTGATTACACTACTGAGCTTTTGCTTTAACTAAATCATTTAAGAGTATGTGCAAAGATTCAGTTATATGGATGCTCATCCTAGCTTTCATAACAGAAAAACAAGGAAAATAAACTAATCCTCTATAACAAAATGAGCTGAATGAGTGCGGTAGTGCATATTCATATAGTAGAATACCATCAGCATATTCATATAATAGAATACCATCACAACTTTTAAAAACAATGATGTACATCTAAATTATAGTCAAGGGAAAATGTTTTTACAAAGCATTAAACAACAAAACATTGCAAAAGAGCTATGTATTGTAAAAAATATAAACATATGTCTTTATACATGTATATTTTTATAATAAATAAACGTGTTGTCAAAATATTAAAAGAAGCTATTTCTGATTACTGGGGCTATAGAGATTTTTCCCTTACTTTTTGTTGATAGTTTTATAACTTATCTACACAATACATCGATCATTTACATAATGATTTAAAGGTTAAAAAAGAAAAGTAAAAAATTCAAGTAGCACTGGACTTAACTACCTAAGAAATTAGTACTTTCAATCAAGATAATCTAATTACCTAGAGGAGCAGAATCAATTTTTTTCCAAGGGTTTAGGTATGTCTTTTTTTCTTTCCAGTCAGCATATTCCTGACAACTGTCACTGGGTTGGTCCCATGGCAATTCTAAAAAATAAAAAAATATTAAAAAAAAAAGAAAAAAAAGAAGGTCCCAGTGTTTGTAACATTAAATAAGAGTTTAAGGAAAATAATCAATACAGATCCACTGAAAGTTCCTTCACCTTAATTCACTATGCTTTTCAAACTAAGAATGCCAATTCACAGAAACTTTAGAGATACTTCAAAACTGATGAACCACTTCCTGATCTACTCATTCCCGATGTAGGCACATGAATCTTAAAAGAAATTCCTACTGTGATATTCCACTTAATAGTTGTACATATCTCAAAAAAAAAAAATCTCTGGAATTAAAATTTTCAAGTTAGTTATAAACAAGTTACTGTTAAAATATTATCATCTGAATGGGGAGTCCCTTGTTTATTTCAGTTATTTTGTTATAATAAATCTATCTTTCCATAAGAAAGGAGTTTTGTGATGATTAAACAGCTCTCACCTCCAGCCAACATTGCAGTAAGTACTATTCCGCAGGACCAAACATCAACTGGTTCTGCATGAAATTCTTTTCTCTTTAGAAGTTCTGGAGCAACGTAAGGTAAAGTACCACACATCTTGTTCAATAAACGCTCACGATTATTATGCCGAAATACCGTTGCCAAACCAAAGTCAGAGATTTTGAGGTTATCTAAACCAAAGGGGAAAAAGAATAGCACCAATAAATGTGTTTTATCAAAAGAATTAAGGTTTATTGAAAAATAACTAGCATTAGTTTACAGAACTTCTCTACCTTAAAATGGTCAAAAAGGAAATTTTAAAAAGAAATAAAAGACATCACCATCTTGGTAAAATTAGAAAAAGGTCTCATCAATTCTACTAAGAAAAGCATCTTCAATACAAAAAACCAGTGTGGATCAGGTTAAAGATAACTGCAACAAAGGAAGCTGCTTTTCAGAAGCAGGTGCCCCAGGCTGAAAGCAGTTTATTTACAAATAGCTTAAGTATCTACCAATCAAGAAATGATTAAATCTTATAATGTATATATACAATTAGGTAAGGAATTAAAGAAAGTACAGTAAGTCTTCAGGTACTGACATGGATTAGGGTTAAGTTAAAAAAAAAAGAAGACAAAACTAAGATGGAAAAATTCACAAAATGATGTAAAAATAAACTATTATATTATTAGAAGAAAAAAAAAGACAAGAGCTGTAACAAATACTCATAACATGACCCAATTTTTATATTTGGCATATGCACAAATTTATAGTAATACTTTTTTTAACTAGAAATAATTTAAATGTTCTGAAATAGGGGATTGATTGTTTAAAAATCAACTAACACATTATAACATGTATGCCACTGATGTTTACTTCTATTTGACTTGGTAGCTAGAAAATATCTTTTTAATAGCAATATATGACTCAATCTTAGTGACTAAGATTAAGAGTATCAAGTTACTTATGGGGCCCCTCTGGTGTTACAAGTGGTTAAGTCTCAGCACTATGAAGCTATGAGTAGCCACTGCATGGGGAGTGAGATCCCCATCCAAGGAGCTGACCCACATGGTGCAGCAGACCTTTCCTGTCTCACCCACTGCTCCCCTCAGCAGTGTATTTCAGTAGATCTGCCATTCTGTTCCCCACTCTGTCTCTGGTGAGCCCTCTTACCACTCTGCACCTCTGGTTTGTATCCAAGCTTTTTTTATGCATGAATAGATTATTTCTTATTTTACATAGTTTGTGGTCTTTTCATCATTCTTATCCCTCTCCTATAAAAAGAACTTCAGTGGTCTACATGCCTTTTGCAATACTGTTCCAGGTAACCCACCATTTCTCACCAGGGTAGTTGCTGGACTACTACCATGCTCATTCTAAATACTTAGAAAACCTGTTTTCTAATGACCAGGTCACACTGATGACTAAAATGATGTCTGTTACTAGTTACTAGTAAAAGTCCTTTCAAACCTAGTTTTAAAAACTAATGCCATAGAACTTATATGTTTGGTTAGTTTTTCAATCTAAATACTGGACTTCAGCTTTTTCCCTACTGTAATTTGTTCAATCTGACTCACCTCTGGTCTGCTAACTTCAATTATTCAACAACTATTTTTGAAAGCCTATTATTTGCCAGGAGCTACTCTAATGCATTGAACAGAGAATTAAACAAAAATGACCTCCTCATATAGCTGATATTTTCATCAGCTTTTTTTTTTTTTAAGGTTTCTTTATTTATGCATACAAGAACTGGAATACAGGCGAGAGGTGCAGCGTGTGAGGGGATTCATCAAAGGCAGAGTAGGGAGCAGAACAGGCAAGTCTACTGAAATACACTGCTGAGGAGAGCAGCAGGTGAGACAGAGGTCTGTTGTGCTATATGGCTAGGGATCAAACTCATGCTGCAGTGGCTGCAGATAACTTACTAGTGCTATGCTTTAACTCCCTGTGCCACCACACAGGCCCTTCATTAGTTTTTAAATCCTGATTCTACAAATTAACATGTCACTATCCATCCTTCTCATATTTTATGATATTCATATAATGAAATTTACGGATTTATCCAAGTCATAGATTAAAAAGAATAAACAGGACAAGCCTAAAGTCTAGGGTTTTCCAGTAACACTTCCCTTTATTAATCCATTAAAAAGTACTTAAGATTATTCTTACAGTAGTAATCAGTGTTCTCACTCAGTAACCCCTGCATCTAAGTCAGGTTTCTCCATCTCCATCTCCAACTATATCATAAAAAACTTGTGAAATCCAAATATGAACTTGTGAAATTCAAATTAAGTCTCACAATTTCCTTAACTTTAAATGGTTTTTTTTTTTTTTTGCCCTGAGATTTGACTAGTGCAAAAGCCCAGGGACGATCTTGTATGCTTGTACTGAAATACAAGTAGAAGTGACAACATGCTGAACTTACCCCTTTCATCCAACAGGAGATTTTCTGGTTTAATATCCCTGTGGGTTATTCCAATACCATGCAGATAAACCTGAAAGGGAAGTAGAAGTAAATGACTAGAATTCATTAACTTATTTCATTCATATTAACTTTAAGTAAGAAAAGGAGACAACTATACCTACCACGCCTGCCATGAGTTGATGGAAGAACCTCTGAGCATCTTGTTCAGGCATTCCTATGTCCGGCTCTGTAAGAACCATGTAAGTTAGTTTACTAGGTAAATATAAATAAATAAATATATAATCAGGAATCAACCACATACTTTCCAGATCCTAAGGTCTAGCATGATTGCAAAGAGAATCTCATGCTAAAAATTAAAAGATTTTGGAGTCCACTAACAGTCTTTAGTAAAACATTTCACCATCTGTTCATGGCAAAAATAATCTAAGAGGAAAATTAAAAGTAACAAACTTTTACCCAAAGAAATCCTTTGAAAATTCTTGTTTATCTTCTATTAACCATGATTTATTTGGTATCATTCAAATTCTCCCCTAATTTCTATTAAATACTATGTCAGTATTTTCCTTACTCCTGAAATGTAATTGCCAAACAGAATCCTGGGTAGAGCTAATTTCACTAAATATTTAACAGATTTATGATACTACAAAATCATGAATGCTTGTGGTGTTCCTTCAATAAACAAAGTAACAATTTTATAAAGAAATGTTCTCTTTTCCCTTATCTTTTTAAACATTTAACTCCCTCATTAACTCATGTTCTTTTACACTCAACTCTTGAGATATAGTAGAGATCCTAATAATCAGTTTTCAGTTGTTAATATCATAGCCTTAAATAATAAACTTAGGTCCACAGAATATATTTTATGTACCTCAAAGTATTACAAAGCCTTTGAATATAACAGAACATGTAAGTGACAAACATGGAATGTTATATGCTATTATTTTCTCACTGTATATGTAATGACCTCATGTACTAGAAAGTCTATGAAAGAAAACTGGATATGCAAACAAAGCATCACACTTAGGATATTCACCAGAGTACAGTTATAATTTTTTATAAAACAACAATCTCAACCAAAATCACTTAAACAACTCAAGGAAAAGTTCTCTTTTATGACTCTATATATGCTTTTATGTGTTGACATTAATTGTAAAAACAAGAAAATTCACTGCAATTCACTGTTGCAATCTGAATGGACAATTACCAACTAGCAGATTCAAGATTTTATAAACTTAGTTGAATAATTATCTTAAATCTTTTCCATACCTATTCTATCAAAAAGTTCTCCTCCACTACAGTATTCCAGAAATAGATACTGAATATTGCCTTCTCTCCTGTGACCATAGAATTTCACTACATTCTCATGATTTAACATTTTATTAATACAGATCTCTTTCTTAATATTTTCTGGACAGTCTATGGCACGCTTCATGTCTACAATCTTCACTGCCACTGCTTCTTCAGTTCTTCTATTCACAGCAAGTTGAACTCTGAAATGGAAAAGGAGAAGTTGCAGGGTTCCAGACATGTGAATATCATTTTTATTTAAAACTTTGAAAGATTAAACATGACTTATTCAAAAACGATTTGACTTTTATTAATTTCCTCACCAAAGAACCCAAGGAAATGGTTTTTGCCATGTTCTTAACGGATACTACGGATCCTATGGCTTTCTGGGTGTGAAATAATGATAGCTAATGCTCCAGAGACGGTACACTGTACGTAGGTGTTCCAAACATTCAATAAACTCGATAAACTAAGCTAAAATGGGACATTGGCGATTCTAAGCCACGTCACCCGTACACCAACTCTACTCCTTGAATTGTAACACCATCACCTAACACTCATCTGAAACCACATAGGCTGTGGTAACTGTTTAAGCACCTATGGGGTAAGGCCAAGTCCCCATCTTGCAGCTAAGGACACAGGCATACAAGGCTCTTAAGCAACTCCCCTGGGAACACAAAACAATGAACAGCACGTGACCAAGTGAAACAAACCAGGCAGTCTATTCACTTGCTTATGCAACCACTATTTTAAGTCCCAGGAAGGAATGCAGGAATAGTGGAAGAAACTGACTTCAGATGTCTCTCTCCCAGGCTGTACATAAACAATGTAAAGAACAGGAATAAAAGTCATCCTCACAAAAAACCGTGTAGCTTCAGTTCCCAGACGTCTTGGGTAGCAAATACACAGATGTGCTCTCTGAGCCACCACTGCACTAGCACAAACCACTCCAAAACAGATGCTGGAGGCAAGGGAGATGAGGATCGGAAAACTAAATCCAGTGTGAAGACAGGAGAAAAGAATCCAAACTCACTCTCCATAGGCACCTTCTCCCAGGGTCTGCACCAAATCCCAGTCTTCCACGAAAGGCACTGCCATGACTCCACATGCGCGGGCTGTAAGAGGCAGGCACCCGCAAGGGATGCGGGACGAGTGTAAACCTCACCCACCTGCAAAGCCACCGAGTTCTACCCTGGCCATGCTTCCTCCAAATTAAAAACAGCTCTTGGCTTCCCCTTACACCTTGCTCGGTGGGGCCCGTCTTTAACCCGCAAGCGAGTGAGCTACACCCCGGCGAGGTGGTCTGTGAACCGCCATCCTCAAGGCCGTCTTCGGGGCGTCTGGCCAAACGTAGTAGTTGGTTGCGGGCTTGGGGGACTGAGCTTGAGAATGAGTGACTGTGCCGGGGCTCCGGGTGGGGCTCGGGTCCGGGCGGCGGGGCGCCCGCGGGCTCGTGGAAGGGAAGTCACCACGACGACGGGGCCCCTCCTCCCGCCCTCTCGCTCCCCACTCGCACCCCCCACCCCGTCCCGACAGTCGGGAGGAGCCTGGGGCGGGGCCAAGGTGCCCCCGACAGCTGAAGGAAGGGCTGGGAGGCACGCCGTTGGCCCGCGTCCACAGCTCGGGGCTCCCCGGCCAGCGAGGGTTCGTCTCTCCAGCCCTTCCACTCCGGGGATCCCTGCCATCACCCCATTCCTCCCTCAGGAACCGCCTCTCCGCGGGCGCCTCTTCGAGCCCCTTCGCTCGCCACCGGTTACCTTCTCCCTTGGTGCCCCTAACTACCGTGGACCCCGGACTCCTTCTCCAGCTCCCGTTCCCACCCTAGAGGCCGCCCCTCCTCACCAGGCCGTCCTTTGCCCTCCACCACAGGAATCCAAATGCAGAGCTTTTCCCGCCAAAACCTGCGAGCGTCACACCGTCGCAAAGGCGCGCCTCCGGCCGTAAAGCAGGCGCGCGCGCGCCCGGGCCCGGGCGCCGCGGATTGGCGGCACCAGGAGGGGCCTCCCTTGTTTGCCGGACTCCGGCCGGCGGTGCTGTGCGTTGCCCGGGGGTCGCGAGGACATCTAAGCAGGTTTCGGAACCTCCGCTTCGGCCCGAAAGGTCCCTGGACCACAGCGCGAACAGGTACCCGGCGTAAGGTCCTGGGCGGAGCCGAAGCCCTCTGGGATCAGGACCCCGGCGGCGGAGCCTCAGTGCCGTGCCCAGCCGCCTGCCTAGACCGTGAGGGTCGCATTCGCCAAGTGCCGCCCCTGTGATTTTCAGGGACGGTAACTGAGCAGACCGGCGGAAGCTAGAGACTGCTGGAAGGACTGACCTCGTGAAGAATGGAAGTACTTTGTGCAGGGAACGAGAATCATCAGAAAAGACTGGTCACACAGTAATGGGGTACCAAGGCGCGCAGATGAAGCAAGTTTGTGTAGTTGGGGGGTACTGTCTGGATAATCAATTTCCTCGTCTTGTCTGAACTGGCTCCATAAGAATACCCTGGCCCAGCATTTTAAAGAGCTTCTGCATAGCTAAGTCCTAGCTGCTTTCTCATTCTAAATAGGTAAGTAGGGTAGAAGCCGCAAGCCTCATTTTACAGTGCAAATTGAAAATGGAAAAGAAAATTCTGGGGAATGGAATTTGCTTGAAAACAAAATTACCTAGAAAAAAATTAAGGACCCCCCCTTCTCCGCCCCACCAAACACACAGTAAATCGATTAGGAACTCCAAGTATAGGGCAAAATCATGTCCGTGAAAGTGTAGAGTTCTTAAAACTAGGCGTCATTTATTGAGCATAATTAGCTCTTGATTGTGATACCAGTAATAAAGTAAGTAAAATACGTTACAAAATGCACATATCTGTTTTAAAGAAGCAAAGTCGGGGACAAATGTCAAGATCAGGAGAAGTGCTTATGCAAGTTTTAAAGTTGATGACATCACAGTTTAAGCTTCATGTAATAAAAGTAAATTTTTCAGATTTACTATATTTTCTTCAGTTTTCTGCACTGTGCTGCAAAAGTGAATATGAACAAAAGGAAGAGGAGGACCTGCACAGTTCCATGTGCCTGAATGGAATCAAGGTACCTTTTTAGTCTGGAAAATAAGGTATACAGATGTCAGGCAGAATAGCAGTTAACAGTAGTTCTTGGGAGAGGAATGTGCACAGTAGCCTCTGTCCCTCCTAAAAGCTTACCAAAATAGCACATTTTAGTATTAAATATTGGAAACTGTAAAATTTACTGTTCTAAAATAATGGCAAACTCTTTAAAAGCAATAACCCACAATAATAGAATATGAGCAACAAGATTTGGAAAGTGTAGAGTTTAAATAAAAGGTAACTAGCTTAGGTGAAAGAAGATGAATCATAAAGCCAGACTTGGGAAAGGAGAAACAACATGATTTACATCACAGGACTTACATTGGTGGAGGTGAAGATGAGACAAAAAGGATTGGCTGAAAGGCTACTTAAGCAGCATACAGAACCTGGATTCCCCCTCCTCTGTGTAGCCAAGGTACTGCCCCTCCCTTAAACCAGTATTAATTGGCCTGGAGAGGTAAATACATGGTATGTAACCTGAAGCGCATCAGGCACATCAAAAGGCTTGGGTGCCTTAGTGAAAACTGATAAAGTTTATACACTGCAGCAGGTTGCACTTCTAAGCCTTTCTTTACTCACTTCACTCTTAGAAACTTCACTCTTAAAAATCTGGCACTCTGGTTTGTATCCTTAAGAGGAGATGCAGCAGGTCCACAAATACTCCATTCAACATCAACAAGAAAAAAAACCCAACTTTTGTGGAAGAAAACCATGTTATTTGTGGACCTACTTCTATTTTATACTCTTTTACTTAAAGTCTGTTCTAACAACCTAATTAAGTGAGGACATATTGTACAAACCTACTTGAGAGACTCTTACCTAAATAAAAGATCTAAAAATGGATCACAGGAGAGTGAAGCTCAGATTTAATAAGCCCCACCCATAATCCTCCCAAAACTTTTTAGTGTCATACTCTTTAAAAAGAGCAAATAACCAAGAATTTGAGGAAGACTTTAAAAACAAAGGAGTATTTAAACAAACAAAAGTCTGGAACACAAAAACTATAACAGAAAAGGAAAATAAGTTAGAAACAAAAATTTTTAAAGACTCCCAGGAAGAAAAATAAAGATGGGAAATAGAAAAGCAAATATAAGACTAGTATAGGAATTTCACTATCAAATTAACTTTTTTTCTAGAAAGAGAAAGGGAGTTGTGGGAATCTACAAATAACTAAGGAAAATTTCCAGGAATGAAGAACCTAACTTTCCTTCCTTAAAAATTTCAAGTACCCAGCAAAATGGATGACTCACTCCAAGATTTATCATGGGAAATTTTATGAAGTCTGAGGTGAGTGTGATGGAATGGACAATACCAAAAAAATTAAGAATGAGAATGGAACTGCATTACCAACATTCAGAAGACTGAGAATAGGCCAACGCCTAATCCAAAGGAAAAGTTTTTTCTATCCTAAAACACTATTATCTAGCCAGCCTATCAACAGATTGTGCCAAGAGACATGCAGGAGCTCCAATTTATCTCCTATATACTTTGTCAGGAAGGTCATTAGAGGTGATGAATCATGAAGTCGGGAGTATGACACAGCAAGGACATACCAATCCAAGAGCTAGAAATTAAGCCAATCCGCTCTTACACCTAACAAGTCTGAACATACCAAAAGGAAGCTGGCAAAAATGCAGTGTTTGGAGGAGAAATTAGTGACAAGAACACACTCCCTTCAATAACAAGTTATGCAGGGGGGAAATAGTAACAGTATGCCACACAGCCTAGTTGTGAAGGTAAAAACTAAATACTGACCTAACTGTGATAGTCTTAAGATAGAGTTGTATTCCTGTTACTGGAATGGTTATGGTTAAAAAGAGCTAAATTCTCAATTTTCACACCAGAAAATAAACAGATGATGCCTAAAAATGTACAGAAAGCAAAATAAAGCAAGTTACTTGACAGACAGCAAAGTAATTGCAGTGTTGAAAGTGGCTGCCTTTAGAGACTGGAAAACAAGTATGTTGTCTTTTAGAATTCGATTTTTTTTTTTACACCCAGTGCACAAAAACAATGAAAAGTACATTTTTAAAAGGTATAGCCTAGTAAGAAACAATTTAAAACCCGAAAAGCAACAATAGTGATAAACTAAAGAGTTAAAATGACTATAGAGGAAGATTATTTCTGATCTCTAACTGGTATTATTTGACTCATTGGCAAACAACCCAAAATTCAAAATGTTTCTACTAGAGAGGAATTTTACATATAAATTAAATAATGTATTTACATATAGTAAATCAATTCTTACATCAAATGTAAATTTTTCCACAGCTAAAGTACTTGGTATATAAATTGGTTTGGAAGGCTGTTTCCTGGGGGTACAAGCATACCTAAGCAGACCCTTTAGGAGCACCAGTTTGACTTCTCTAAAAGTCATGTAATTCTTTCTCAATCAGATAACACTAAACAGCTGCCTTGTATTTTTTTAATAACCTAGGGTACATATATAGCACTGATATAAGGATCATGTTATAAATTATATACAATTTCCTAGCATATTTAACACAGGCTGTTTTAATAGCTTGATATTAAATACCCACGGGAATGCTGTGTCTTTTTTGAGTTAAAAAAATTTGTTAAAGTGTCCTCTTTCCTGAAGTGAGGCTAGCTAGCACTGCTCTCTACGTGACTCAAGTAGCGATTCTTCCCACTTCTGCCTTGCAGCCTAAACGGCAAGGTTCCAAAACCAGATCATCTGAGCTTGTTAGTGGTATAACAATTTGCTGAATCTAAGGTAGAAAGAAGTTCATATTTAAATAACAGGAATTTTAGTGCAATCTAAAGAAAATGAACAAATAGACATTTTCTTTGACATGGGTAAAAGCTGAATAGTTGAATAGCCGATTTTAAATGATTACATTTAAGTGGATTAAAAAAACACCTACTGACTATCAAGCTCTATCAATAATGCTACAGGAGTTTTGTCCTCTCCATAGAGAACAATAACGGCATGGTTTGCCTTGAGTCTTCAAAGCTGAGAATATAGTCTTATTTGACTTCTTACTAGTCCAAGAAAAC